GGCTGCTGTTATTATTATTGGCTGCCAAGTAATTGGATGATAGTGCCATATAAGTAGAGGGATGCGAAAGCAAATACATATAAAATCACAGTTTCACCAGTGATGGTTTAGCAGTGAATTCAAACAGTATTTAACCATGTTGTAAAGCACACAATTTGGGGGAAATGTTGATTCTTTAAAAAGTCAATCTCTAGAGGGCCATAAAAGCTATTTTAATCACTACAACTAATTACAAGGAAGTATAAATCAATAAACTTTGCTAAATGGCCTAAAATATAATAAAGAAAACCATCATTAACAATCATCCAGGAAGCCACTGTCCTTAAGAGTGAGATGATGTAAAAGTTGGGTAAGAAGAATGAATTTTATTATTTGAAAACTCCAGGCGTTAACAATGCTTTCAGGAAATTCTTCCTTCAGTTGAGAGTTGTGGCTTTTCGGAATGATTATTTACTTTAGTTAGCCTAACTGTTATTTCTAAGTTATATTTATTTATATTAGGCCTGGTATGGAAAAAAGTAGCCATTTGCAGAAAGGTATTCTCAGTTCTTCTGGTTTTTTGTTTGTTTGTTTGTTTGTTTGTTTGTTTGTTTGTTTGTTTTATCCTCTCTCAGCTCAAAACCAACCTTCTTTCTGTTCTTCCCTGTCCTACAGCTGTCACATTGTTTCAGAGCCCAAATCCAGATGAGAGTCAGAGGCATTTAGAAAGTTTAGCTCTCTTCTTCAGTCTCTTCTATTACCTGAGCTACTGGCTCAAGTCTGGGAGTCTTTGGGCTATATGACCTGATCTGTCATGCTTACCCCCTGCCCTCCGACAAGAGGGTCAGTGTCCACATGGGTCACTGCATCATATTGCTCTCAGTCTGTTTCATTCCTAAATCAAGAACCTGGCTTGCTTTTAATCACTCTATTTCTTCTCAATAGTGTGATTTCCCAAGATGAACCTTCCTTGGACGCCAATCAGGCAATAGGAGTCCATCATCATGATAGTGGTGATGACATTCTCCTGCTCCTGAGCTTACCAGTGCTGTGTCTGTTCACATGTGTGCTGTCCTGACAAAATACCTGGCCACAGCTTTGCTTGCATCAGACAAGAGTGTCCTTCTGGATAATGTACCTCTCCAGTCGGGCTCTTGAACTACCCTGGGGAGCAGATCAAGTTCCAGTCAGCTTTTCCCCCCTACCTTTATCTGCCTGTATTGCCATGGGGGATATCTGAGATATTAAGAGTGGCTCAGCTGTGATGCTAAAGCCAAGAGATTGAGCAGAAAAAACCTGTATGGCAGTAAGTTTAGAGGCTTGATTCTGTAACTAACTAGACTGCCCATCCATGACCTTCCTTAGTTAAATCTAAACGCTAAAGAGAACATAAAATGGCATGAACAGACACATAACTCTACATTGGAAAGCTAGCACACAAATAAGAATTTGTGTTCCTCTTGGTGGATCAGAGCTCCAAAATACAGAAAATGGTTTTGTAATCAGAGTTAACAGAAATTCTAAAGCAACAGGGTTAAATAAGATAGAACCTCATTTGGCCACGCTGATGGCGCAAGGGGTTAAGACATAACCTATGAAGCTAGCTGTAGCCACTGCAGCACAAGTTCGATCCCCGGCCAGGGAGCTACCCACATGGTGCAGCAGACCTCTCCTGACTAGCCCACTGCTCCCCTCAGCAGTGTATTTCAGTCAATCAGCCTGTTCTGTTCCCCTCTCTCTCTCTGGTGAATCCTCTCACCCCCCACACCTCTGGCCTGTATGCCAGTTCCTGTATGCATAAATAAACTATATAGAACCTCATTTCTCTCCAACATAAAAGAAATTTGAAACTGAGCAGTTCAGAGTTAGAATGGTTATAATGGTGAGTTATTCTCACCACTCTTAGACAAATGTTCTTAGTCGTTGTCAGGAATTCAGGCTTCTATTATCTGTCTGTGACAGTCTATTTTCAGAGACATCTCAAGGCCCAAGAGGGCTTTGGGGCTCCATCCACATTACAGACATCATAAAAGAGGGAAAGGGAAGGGAAAAGGGAATGATGGCTAAATCAAGTTCTTTTTGAAAGTTTCACATATTTACACCTACATCCCAGGTGCCAGAATAGAGTGATAAGGCCACATCTAACTGCAAGTAAACCTGGGAAATGTAGTCTTATATTTAGTTGTAATGTCACTTGACCATGGATACTGTTGGATAGCAATTAAGCCAAATGAAATATCAACCTTCTTTGAGAGGGCAGTTAAAGAGATAACAGTGAAATGACATCTTGTGATTAGCTCAGATAAAATAAATGAGATTCATTTACTCATTCAACAAAAATGTTTTGTATGGTTATTACGTGCCAGAGACAGGGAGGTGGTGATGAACTGAAATGAACAGTTCCTGTCCTCATAAAGTCTTCAGTCTACACCGCCCACAAATAGAAGAGTGTATAATCACACAGTGTGGTGTGGGCTCTCTATGCGGAACTTTATAAGATGGTCAGGCTTGAATTTTGTCTTCTCAACTCTGTAGAGAGAGACAAGGGGCCTCTTCTAGCGGGGCCTGGAGTTGGTTAGAAGGTCTTGTTACACTTCCTTAGTATGCTGACTGTATTTCTCTTCTCTGACCTTCCTCATTGCTGGCTAGGAATGTCTTAATGCTCCTTCTTAAATGAAAGAGGTCCTATCTGCTTGATCATATCCCCTGTAGCAAAGAGGGAATTCTCCCTCTATTCTCCACAGAGCTGAGGCTACACTCATTGTTCAATCTAAGGAGACCAGGATGTGATGTCCCCACTCTCCTGGCCTATGGCAAACAGAGGAGCAATTACCAGGCATTCTGAGGATCAAAAGCATCAGTCTGAAATGGCTAGTCCATCCCAATAGGAAATACATTAATGGTGGGGTTGGGGATTCTGCTTTGATTTGCTATGACTCTTTCTGATCTTATCATTTCATTTGGAATTAAAATAGAGAATTTTATTTGCATTGCCCATATTCTTCATTAACTAACATTTGGGTTCACCTTGGAATTTTACCATAAAACAGTCAAAGAAAAGAACATAGCATTTTTCTGCTGTCATTTTGCTGAGCCAATAATTTTTATTTGCCCTCCTGAAGAATGCCTTTATTTTTAGCTGCGTGCAGTACTTTAGATGGATGTCCTGTCTTTTCCCAAAAGCTCAGATAACCCAATCACATACAGTTTTAGGGACAAATTCCTTTTATTATAACTTAGAAGCATCAAGATTTGCTAGAGCAGAGTTACTCTTTTTTCCTTCATGAGAAAATACATGGGTTAATGACATTTCCTTATTTAAGTTGGATTTCCTTGACCCTTTTTCTCTGGAGGTTTTTGGTGTATAATTTCTTGGTGACATGGAGAATTGTTTGGCACTAGTGTTTGTAAGGAATAGACTCGGTCTGATAAAACACCTTGAAAATCAGAGAGACCAAGGCCATGAGAACATGGACAGAGTCTCAGTGCTCAGGAAGAGATGTACAATCTGGCTCCTTGGGAGGCTGGAAAGTGAAGAACTGGAAGGCATATATATAGTTTGAGTGATCTCAGATGCAGAGGTCAATAGCCATGGACACAATTCACTGTTTTATACCTATATTCACTCTTAACAACTTAAGGCTCTCAGACGTACTTGTCAAATTAGCTGGTTCAAATGTCCCCTTTGCTATAAGATAATTTGCTGATATTTTATCACTTACAGTGCTAAAGACATTTAAAGTTGCAATTGGAAAGGAAAGAACAACACTTCAGTCTTGTTTACGTTGCCTGCTGATGTAGCTGTAGGACAATAAATTTTAGTTAATCCAATAGTTTCTTCTCTCCCTGGACTCCTGACCAACCTGCTGATCTTGTTCTGAGAAGCTCTCTGGTATCAGAATTTGCATTGGGATATATAGAAAGTGACCTCTGCTGTTCCCTGGTGACTGGCCATGAAGCCAGGTTGGTGTCTTTCCAGGAAATTTGGTCTCCTCTGGTATTATTGCCTGAGAGTGGACAGTTAAGGACACTAGGCTTACATCTCTAGATGTAATTTAAGACTTACTGAGAGAAAATGCTCTATACCAACATGATAGCCTACTTATCCTTCTAAGAACAGCTGCCAGTTTCAGAAATGCATCCCACAGCTGAAGGGCTGCATGAGCCCCAGACCCAGGATCCTGGAAGAACAAGTCATATAGAATGTTCTGCCCTCCATGGTCTCTTGCACCATCATTGTATTACTTTCCACTAGTGGTCCCTGGGAGTCAGGGACTTGGTTTGTCAGGGACTTGGTTTGTGATTTATATCATTCATGGACTAGGAAGAAAACCACAAATAAGAAAAACTCCTTTGGTTTCTTTATGTGGCAGTTAAGAATAAGGGTAATTTGTGAAGCTTTTGGGGGGATGGTTCATGATAATGAAGATGGTGGGGCAAAGTATCAAATATCATAAACCTCTTTTGAAACCTGTCGAGGGATCCCAATGATGAGATGCCTCTCCAGTTAGGGTGTTTTCCGCAATCCCAGGGTGGAAGGCATCTACAGCAGAGTTCTGTGCAACTCAGCACCACTCGGAATCCCGGCCCCAATAGGATCATCATTTTGGCCCTTCTATCTTTTGAAAAGTCAAGAATTTTTAAAAAGCAGAACTTTGGAGTAAAATGATCTCATGGACTTTGATTCAACATCACAGTAAGGAAGGAGGCACATCACCAACATTATTGAAAGATCTGGCAGGAACATAGATCATTCTCTTACCCATACAAAGATTCTACCATAGGGGGATGTCCCCAGCTGCTGACAATGGCCAAAGACTAATCTAGACTTTAATAATCATTTTTGAAGGAATTCAGTTTTCAAAAATAATTTATTCAAGTATTTTATGCCAAAATAATTCTAAAAAGTTTTAGTTTCTATTAGCAGCCCCCAAGCAAATATGCATTTAACTACAATAACACAACTATTATGTCATAGTTTTTTATTATAGACTTTTTTTATCCACATGAATGTTAAAGAAACTACAACAGAGTTAAATACCATTTTTGATAACATGATTATATTCTTAATTACACTCAATATTAAACTGTAAAATATTTCCAGAGGAATACAATCTTCATTCATACAGCAGGCAAAGTACCAGAGAGGAAGGGGCCACACATAAGTCTGTCCAGTTTGTTATGAAAAGCAGGTTTGCACGGCTAATGCCATCCTGGCTGTCGAAACGTGATCCCCACTCTTAGGACAGGTCTTGTGTTTTCTTTCCAAACAAGAATCACTTCTTCAGACATAAAAGACAGTCTTGTAGAGCTGCTCTCTCAAGTGTGCAGCCCTGAAACCACTTGGGACCGTCCATGGATTTCCCACCCCGGTTGGCTAACAGCACGCCCACGTTCTGGGTCCAGTTGGCCTTTAAAAACACAAAGACTCAAACTTTGGTTCCACCAAAAGATGCGACAAGCATTGGCTGCTCTGGTTGGCTCCCCCCTCCCCCCACTAATAAATGGCCGCTACAGTCTATTTTACATGGTTGTCCATGCTGCTTGAGGTCACGTGTCCTTGTGTTCTCCCAAACCTGATTTAGCATTTGATTCCCAAGCCCTTTCAATTCACAGTCTTTATGTGGGTCAGAAGTGCTCAGTGGCAGGCTGTATCTTACAAGAGAACAAGACTAAGTGGTTCTGTGCACCTGGGATAAGACAAAAAGCATAGAATGACAACCTCAGCATGACACAATCAGGTTAAACATATTCAAAGTAATACTTATTATATCCTTAAGAGAAGACATTTTCAGGATGGTTTGGATTAAAAATGGTTTGGATTAAAAATTTTAAATAGGGACCATGAGACCATCTTCCATTCTACAATCTTGCCTCCTTTCTTAGGTTATAATCTCTGCTGACATTGATCCAAACTACGGCTATTAGGTCAGAGTGTGCTGGGTTGCTATGCCTTCATTAGAGTAAAGCCATTTTGTTGGGTTCTAGAATCTCCATTTTGGTGGAGCAAAGGTTCAGGTTGCCTGCAGTGACAAGAAAAGATGAAATTTCATGTTGCAGTGCCCTCTGGTTTTGGTTGAATGGCCCAAGTTTCATTTATTTTTCTTACCTTGGGATGTTAGGGCAGTTGGAGAAGAATGACTGGAGGTTTTGTGATTCAACAGCAATGAAAGCATTATACTGGTTATTTTTTTTTTTTTTTTTTATTTATTTATTATATTTGTTTGTTTTGTTTATACATGCACTGGGTACAGTCAGAAGCGCGGGAGGGTGAGAGAATTCACCAGAGCCAGAGCAGGGAGCAGAGCAGGCAGAAGGACCGAAGCACACCGCTGAGGGGAGCAGCGGGCGGCAGGAGAGATCTGCACGCCATGTGGGACCCTCCCCTGGTGGCCGGGGAGCAGCCGGGGATCGAACCGGCGCCGCAGAGGCCGCGGGCAGCTTCGCAACCCAGCGCTCAACCACTGCGCCACCGGGGAGGCCCTATACTGGTTATTAAGTGTGTATTAATAACTGATAAGAGAAGTGTGAATTAGGCTTCAATTGAGGTATTAAATCAGAGAACAGGTGAAGTGTGGGCCACAAAGCCAGGTGGGCTGTTTCAAACCCTGCTACTTTGTATGGCAACACCTTACTCACGTCTGCATTTCAATTTTCTTAGTGGTAGAAATAGTAAAAGCACAGGTATTTCCATTAATGGGTTGTTTAGAAAATTAAAGATGATAATTGACATAAAATTCTTGTACAGAACCATGACAGCACAGTGTCATTCTTAATGGAGACTCTTTTTTTTTTTTTTTTGTCATTATATACAATTTATTTATTTTTTTAAATAATAAATTTTATTTTTATATTCCCCATACAATTGCAACCCCCTCATTCTGACCCCAATCCCTCCCCTCCCACCCCCCACCCCCTAAAAAGCGTCTCTGGTTCATAGTTTTTTTTTTTATAGGAGATTATATTTATTTTGGTCGGCAATGGGGAGCTATAGAAATTTTTTTTTAATAATAAATTTTATTTTTATATTCCCCATACAATTGCAACCCCCCCATTCTGACCCCAATCCCTCCCCTCCCGCCCCCCACCCCTCAAAAAGTATCTCTGGTTCATAGTTTTTTGTTGATTTTGATTTTCACTTTCTTGTAGTTATTCAGTTTCCTGGTCCCTTATTTAAGTTTTCTAGATTCCTGCTATGAGTGAGACCATCCGGTATTTTTCTTTTTCTTTCTGGCTTATTTCGCTGAGCATTATCCCTTCCAGCGCCATCCATGTTGCTGCAAATTGCATGTGTTTATCTTTTTTGAATGCTGAGTAATATTCCATGGTGTATATGTACCACATCTCCTTGATCCAGTCATCTACTTTTGGGCATTTGGGCTGTTTCCAAAGCTTAGCTATTGTAAATAGTGCTGCTATAAACATAGGGGTGCAGGTGTTCTTTGGAATTGATGTTTCTGTGTCCTTTGGGTAAATACCTAGGAGTGGAATTGCTGGATCATATGGAAGCTCTATGTTTAGTAGGTCCAGAAATCTCCACACAGCTCTCCCTTAATGGAGACTCTTATGTCTGACCACAGAGGAGAGAAATGGACCCACCTTTTCCCTCTCTGTTTCTGATCTGTACAAAAGACAGAGTGTTCAATCCCTTCACATACTTTTAAGACCTTTTTTATTATTATTTTTATAGCATTTATTCCAGAAGTGAAATAACAATAACAGGAGTTTATTGAAGAGGTAGATACTGTTTATATAGGAAAATAAATCACATTTTCAAATGCTCCAAAAGGAATCAAACTATCCATTAGTGATGAACAAAATGCAGACATAAAACAAAAGTAGGTGGGCCATGCCATTGGGTGTTCACTGAGCAGACTTGAATAAAAGCAGTTTCTTTGTGGGAGAGGAGAGAGAAGAGACAGAAGACTGGCATGAAAGAGTGAGAGCCAAAATATTAGAGATGGCTGAGAGTTTGATCAGATTTGGTCACCCATGGTTTACAGATAAGAGTCAGTTTCCAAGAGATGCAATGCTGTTCTTCAAGCTAACTTAGGGAGTTAGTGTCAGATTTAGAAACCAGGCTTCCCCTGAACCAACTCAATGATCCTAGGGAGGCAAGGAGAGGCTTTAGAGTCAAACAGATGTGGACTGAATCCTGGCTCTGTCACTAGCTAGCTAATGACCTCACTGAGCTTTTGTGTTCTCATGTATGAGATGGTAGCATATGAGGGGTAGTGACAGCATCTTCCTTAAAGAGTTGCAAGGATAAAAGAGATAATGTGGCAAAGAATTTAGACCACTATCTGGCATTGTTTGTGCTCAATAAATGATAATTATTATTCCTTCCGACATGGCCAATGACTTTTTGTATGATCATGAGTGAGCCATCATTTCCCACAATTCACTTTTCACTTAATATAAAATGATGGCATTCTTCTCTACGAAACACATGGCTGTTTCCGCCAGTCACATGGATTACACTTACATCATGCTAAGAGGTACTTGAAATAAAAAAGAATGCAAAATAATAATTAAATTTATATTAACATTATGGCATTTTTTTCAGGGTGCAGGTATCATGGAGATTAAATGGGGGTGTCTTTATGGGAACTGGGTCACAGAAACAACCTAAGGTAAGGAAGGTTGTTAGGAATAATTGAGATGTTAAAAATGGTCCCAGATGAAATATTTTTCAAATAATTTCTATTGTACTCTTGTGAGCTCACAATGAAATAAACAGGCAGAGTGGTACAATGTCTAATCTACTAGGGCTTGTTTGAAGAGGTAGTTTGAAGATAAATAAAATAAACTAATTTTACACAGCTGGTGGCTAAACAAATAGAATTCATTGCCCTAAAGGGGACTGTGCCTAGGCTGGAGAAAGGTTTAGATAAATCCATGGGTAATGGGTCATTAAGGAGTTATCAAGGAAAAGTTAAGCATTTTCAGTGTATATACATAAATTTTAAGGTTGGTATTGTTAAGAACAGCAATTTGACTCTTCTAGTGAAAATTCACAATTATATATTGGTCTGGGTAGACCTTTATGTTGACTCAACATGGAATTGCTTATATCCTAACACATGGCAAAAAAGATTAGTAGAGCAGAGATATATGTGGTAATACTTGCTCAGCTTATTAAGTGGATTGCCTGTGGTTTTGAAAAGCTTCCTCCTCTGAATAGTCATATTGGAATCCACTGGGTGGCAAGAACACAGCATACTACCTTAAGGGTCACTCTTGCATAAGACATTAATGCATCAGTCCCTAATTTGGAAACCTGTGGTCACTCAGCAAGACAGAATGTGTCTCTCTCCTTTGGTGTAATGATTTTTATTTTGTAATCTCTCTTGGGGTAATTCCTTGCAGGCTTGGCATGTTGAGAATCAAATACTGCCTCTAACAATATGGTTGTGATTCTCTGCTTGGCTGATTTAGCTCAGCATTTAAGTAACCACTAATCTTCTGAAAGCACCAGGGTCTACTTAGAGAAATCCCTGTTGTCTGCAAGGATGGAAACAAAATCAGCATGGAGGAAGCATTAGTTACTAAATACAAATCAATCTCTTTTTTCCACCTAGTTGTATGCTATGTCACCGTCAAAGGTGTGGTTTATGGAAGTCTCATTTTGTAGGTGCAGAAGGAGTTCATGTCTGACAAGCAAAGAAGATGAGTTGGGGAAGTGGAAGGAGTAAAAAGAGATTTTATTGAAGTTCCTAAGTGTAAATCAAACTCTATTCTAATAGGTGAATCTCACAAACACAGAGTTAAAGAAGCCAGACTCAAGAGAATATTCTATACAATGTCCTTTACTACAGTTTAAAACCAGGCAAAGCTAATCTTTGTTGAGGTAGGGGATAGCTGGACAGGGACATGAGGTCAGTCTGTGGGTGCTGGAAACATAGGTGAGTTCATCTTGTGGAAATCTATTTAGGTTTTGATTTGTAGACTTCCTAATTTGTACAACTTGATGATTTGTAGATTTTGTCCAAGGTGCATTATACTCAATACAAAGATTATTAAAAATATAACCTAATATAGTCTCTTTGATTTGGAAGAAAATTAACTTGACACTTTCAGGGTATTATACATATGTGTTTATCAGCATTAATTTGGATCATTCTTGCCTTGATTACCTTGATATTCTGAGTTAAGATTTACTGGCATCTGAATGTTCTAAAATTATTCATTCCACACTGCAGATGCATAGCTGGTCTACTATAATAAGAAATAAATTGCCCAACGACAACTTCGGACTTAAATAAAATACTTGAACTGTGATATTGTGATACAAGAAATACATATTTGTTCAGATTACCAAAAGAAGTATTTTTCGTGCATATTTGGTCTTCATCCCCAGTTTCTAGTCCATAGCTCCCCTGGAATTTTCTAAGTATTACTAGTGATAAAGGTGTCTCTTGTTATGTTAATGAAGGTAACATTTTGGGGTTCTGGTTGCCAGGTAAACCAACCCAAATAGAGGGTTGGAACTTCCAGCCCTATCCCCTGACCTTTGGGGAGGGGAGAGGGTCTGGAAGTTGAATCAATTGCTAAAGGCCAAATATATTATTAACCAGGCTTATGTAGTGAAGCTTGCATAAAAACTCAAAAGGAGGGGGCTTCATAGGGCTTTCAGGTTGGTGAACATGAAGATTTAGGAGGGAACCTTGTGCCTAAAAATGGCATGGATGCTCTGTGCCTTTCTGCCATACTTTGCCCCACGAACAAAGTTCATCACTGCATTGACTGAAACACAAGATGTAACTTCATCAATCCCTTGGATTATTTCAAACATATCAATAAAGAACATGGCCAGGCAATGACAACTCAGAGAGTTAAGGTAAATCTCTTTCTCCTGGTAAGCTCACCTTTTAGCTTTTGCTGAGATGGGCACCAAGCTTCTCTTTCCTGATCAAGCTTGCTGCATAGGGGATCTGTAAGATAAAACAGGCAAAATTCTCCAGGTAAGTAAAATGTAGAGACAGATGTATAATGGAGACCCTTCATCAACATCTAACAAGTTGAATGTCAGTGGGTCCTCTCTGGGAAGAAAAGCTCTACCCATATGCACAGCGTTGTGAGCCTTCTGGGGTATGATATCTATAAGGCCAGTGAAAAAGCAAATGGAGGACAGAACAGGTGATCACACTGGATTGTTGCTACAGTTAGCGCTGAGTTTAATATATGACATTTCACTTAAAGAAGTTTTAAAAAGTTGTATTTAATAATACAATTTCATTATTTTTTATTTAGGTGCAAAAACATTTTGTGATTTTATAATGTACGTTCAAGGTCACACAACAAGAATGTGACTACAAATTATTTCAATGTAATCTTTCATTTAATTAAGAGTAGTAAAATATGCCATCATTATAAACCACAAACAAGACAAACTAACTAAACACAAACTATTACTCTGGGTAATTCCCCAGTAAATACTAAGACGCATCAGAAATAATTACACTACATGGAAAATACCACTCTTGAGAATTCTAACTGGATGAACTTGAAAAGTATTTTTCAATACTGGGCTTTGAATGAAAGACTATCACATTTGATATGCTACTTTTCATTAGAAAATTCAAATGGTTGAAATTGGACTACATGTATTATTTAGATTTGCCTCTGCTCTAACCCCAGCTAAAGTACCCTATCATTATATTACTTACCTTCATTATTACAAGAATAAACCTAAGACTCTAAAGATTCAAATCTATTTTACATTTAAAGGGACAAATGTTTAGCCTTCTAGATAGTATCATAAAATATGACTGATATGTGAAAGCAGTGAGGGAAATAAAATTATTTTCATTCAATTAGACAATGTTTTTGAGTACTGCTATTATATTCCCCATACTTCCAGCATATTAATATTTTGCTCTCCTGATTCAATAGCTCATAAATATGAACCTTTGTTAATGGAAAGAAGTTGGACTCTACAATGATGCTACTGACTAAGATGAACTGGGTCATTTTGCCAAAATAACTGGTCAGCTGAATCAAACAGTATTTTTAATGCCAAAAAGAGAGAAGACTAAAATAAACTTGCTATTTGGATACACAGCCACAACATGGATATATATGATAGGGACATATCTGATAAAGGGCACAGATAGTAGCATTGAAATTAATGATTCATATAGTACCATAAAAAGTTCAGTGTCCTTATCTCATATTTTAAGACATGAGCTGAGATCAGCTAGATAACTATGTCAAGAACAGTTACACAGCGACCTACTCTAATTACCTCTTCTTTTCACTCTAGGTTATGCTACACCTGCTATTAACAGAGATACACTTGAATCTTGATTTTCCATTATGGTGCATGTTCAATAGGCCAACAACCCATGGATCACCTCTCTTTAGATGCTTGTTCCAGCAGAGCCTTGAATGGTATTCTTGTCGTTAGGATAACAAACAGAAATGATGTAAACCTTGAGGTACAAGGAATTACCTAAGGAAATGTATTTCTTTTCCTTTTCTTTTTTTAAAAAGATTTATTTATTTATTTATACAAGAACTGGGGTACAGGTCAGAGGTGCGGGAGGGCGAAAGAATTCACCAGAGAGCAGGGAGCAGAACAGGCAGACTGATGAAATACACTGCAAAGGGGAGCAGCAGGTGAGGCAGGAGAGGTCTGCCATGCCATGCGGGTTTCTCCACGGCCGACCCAGAATTGAACCTGCATTGCAGAGACTGCAGACAGCTTCACAGCGCAGTGCTCAACCCGCTGTGCCACAGGGGAGGCCCTAAGAAAATGTATTTCTACCACCCTCACATTTAGAAAGAGGTCTCAACATGAAGATAAGATGCCTCAAAGATTTAGTAAGTCCCTGTTCTAAGGCAGCCATTAACAAGATAAGCTAACATCACCATGGGGATCTCATCAAGGCCAGTAGCCCACCATCCTAACCCAAAGAAAATCACTCATAGGGCACCACTTTCAGATCTAAGTCAGCACACCCCTTTCTTCCTTTTCAGAAAGAGCAGTGCAATATTTCATTAAGGTAGGAAGCTGAGAAATAAGAGAAAAAGGCATTCAGGACAAAAAAAGGACACATCTAAATGAGCACATTTGATTCCCCAATCTCCAAATTAGAATTTAACTATGTGTGAAAAATTATCCACACTCAAACATTGACTGCTATGTTTATTTCATTAAAACAAAATGAAATAAAGCCCACTAACAACAAAGACCAAAAAGCAAAAGGTCGTGAGCTGAAAATCTTGTGTTTTTAATTCTAGGTCCTAAATCATGAATGATAAAATAAGAAACATATCAGCACACGGCCCAACTGCTCATGGAAACGATCCTATTTCATTGATTCTCAAATATTCTTTTCTCCTTTCATTTTAACATTTCTGAATTTGGGCATATTACAATTGATGAACCTTAGAATAACAGTTGGAAGCTTTGTTTCTTATGATACATCAATTAGTGTTGTCTCCTATGATTGATGATGCTTCAGATACCATAAAATGCAATATTGAATTTACAGAGAGAGACCTCAACAAATGCTCTCCAACTTGTGAGCTCAGTATCCTAAAGATTCTACTAAAATTAATTATTCCACATAAATCTCATGTAATAGAACTTCAAAAGGCTGTCTTTTTATTTTGACCAGCTTGGAGAGCACCAAAATTAGCATGAGCAAACAAACAAACAAACAAAAATAAATAAATAAATAAATAAGAAACTCCCCAAAGTTATTATTTAATTTCTAAATTAACTAATTGTCTTGCGTCTACCAGATGTATTAGTCTTGCCAAAAAAATATAACTTTCTGTGTCTGAGCTTAGGCATGGAAGTGGGTCTATATTCACAAGGAGATAGATGAGAAGAAGGCTACAGAACTGCAGAACAAGTGATTGCATTGTCAAGAGGCAGGGCTGTAGATCAAACATTGGAAAAGGACGCCTATAGCCAGTCTGTCAGCTGCTAGGAGACTCTTAAAAGCAGACTTAAGTTCAGACAAGTCCTCTGACTTGCAAGAACCCCCTTTCATTACATATTTAGCCACGAAACCAAACTCCTTCAGTGGCACAGGGATTTTTTGCTAAAACTAGACTACAAAACAGTTGTATCTAATTTAAAATATATGTGTGAATTGTATTTGAAACACTCTCTGTGTTGAGACAGTAGGAATTTGGTTAAGTTCCCATCCTAATGCATACTGGAGAATCTCCAAGAGGACACCATGTCGCTGAAGAGCGGTGCCCTTGACATAGAGGGAGTGCTCCTGCAGCAATGGTAAAGACCTCCAGCTCCATTCCTGCAGAGAAGCACTCCCACCACAAGGAAGTTGTAAACTGATTTTTTTACAAGGCCACAGTGAAGACATATTAGTACTAAATCTATTGATTGAACATTATTTTAATTGAGTCTTTTAATGAAGAACTTGGAGACTAGGTCCCCCAGCTATGTGTGACTGCAGCATTCTAGAAAAACAGCAGAGGGCACTTCAGGACTAGCATATTGTCTGCAGCTCCCTGCATCCCTTGGTATTAATCCTGCAAGTTTAGGGATGTTGACTCTGGGTTCACGCATTGTGTTCTCTGTTGCAGCTTCACAGGTTCTTTAAGTACTATGACTAAAGAAGAGCACCTCTTCAACAAACTCACACTAGTAGCTTAAAAAACATTTTTTTTTTCAAAATTTGCAGTAAAAGAAGGTTATCAAGGCATTATAATGGTCTCAGCTCATGTTATAAATTATATGACATTGCAGTTCTTAGAAAAACTTTAATCAAAAGGTTATACACTAAGTAAAATATCTTCAGCTTCTTTGATTTTTTTAAATTGAGATATACTTGACATATAACATTGCATTAGTTTCTTTGCTTTCTCTGAACCCTAAGGGATGGTGGATTTTGCTTTCAAATTTGAACAGATTTTACCTAGAATCACAATTTGCTTATGAATAAGAAAGCTTTTGGTCTACACACTAACACTTTCATGAATTTGCTAGATTTTAAAGCTTTTGCATTTGGTTCATAATAAATATATTTCATTGTTTGTATAAATAAATCTGGTTTAGTAATGAAAATGTTTAAGCACTTGGAAACTCAAGGCAGAGATAAGGGACTTTAAACACAGACTGCATTAAGTGCTACAAAACTCTAACTTAAGATATTTTTACAAATTTAACTTGTGGCCCATGCATAAATGTTAAATAAATGGTCTATGCTTTAAATATCACATTGAGATAAATGCACATTCATTTATAAATGCACAAAGAGAGTCTATCATTTGACTCTATAGTCATCACAACTTTGCTGTTAACAAACTGAAGAAGAAAGCAATGGTGCAGAAATTATAGTCAGTAGAGGATCTAAAAATGCAGGAGCCAAAAAAATTCATAAGTTTTCTTTCTCTGGTAATGATGCCCAAGACGATTTCTATATAATCTTTTGAATAAGAACACTGTGTAACTGCATAGGATAAATGCACTGTGGGTATGGGAATTGTTACAAAATATGATGGCTTTAATATATTTGAATTCTCCATGATTGCAAGATAGAGTGTGTTATTATTTCATCTAAAGGAAAAAAAATACCTATTCTGTAGGCAAATGACTATTCTGTTACATATGTTCTATAAACTTTAAATATAAGATAATTATTTTGAGTGAATCATTCTGTTCTTAGGGAGCAAAGCATATTTACTGATGAATTAGATCATTCAACTAAAACCATTAAGCAAGTCAGGAATTGTGATACCTAGCAACTTGGTAATCTTTCTAAAAGTGCTTTCCTACAGATACTCAGCAAATACAAGCTCAATAAGGGACTAGATACATTTCTGTTCAAGTAAACTTGTATCTGCTACCTCAGTCCTAAAGCAAATAGCATAATGTAAACGCAGGTCCTCCCAGCAAAAAATAATCTCCATCCACCAGGACTTAAATAGTTCCACTAGAAGGTTCACTTTAGTAAGTCGGCTTTGAGAAGGGGCAGGCCATTGAATTGATTTCTTAAATCAACATTGCACTTCTTGACTGGCATGTGCATTTCATATTTATTACATGCTTTTGCCTTTCTATACTTAGGTCAGGGAATTAGGCTAGACCCACTATCAGGGCCTTTAAGTTGAGGAATTGACACAATGAATTAGATGGGATGAGTTTTGAACTCATTTACAGACATTAAAGCTTGTGTCTGTTAATCATAAAGACTGTGATCACAATAAGTTTTCCATAGCTCACCAGTATGCCTTCCTTTCATAATTTCACAGTGGTTACTTACAGACTTTGGGACCAAACCAGGGAAACTTGGAAAAGACTTAGACTGCATTATATGAGAGGATCACAACTGGGTCTGGAGCATCAGTGGTAATTCATTCAAAAAATGTTTATTTGATAGACAGTTGATGCTCGATACTGTGCTAGGTGCTGGAGGCAGCATGCAAAATCTGGGCATCTTTTCCAGGGGACACAAAAGAAAGTAGCATTGAGAACAAATGATGTCTAGTTCACCAGTTTTCATGAGGTTAATCTGAAAGTGCCTTTGTGGATATCAGGAATTACATGGTGCTTACTTGTGGGAAAACATCCTAGCTTTAAGTTGAGGAAGTGATACAAATGAACTAAATGGAATGAGTTTTGAACTTAAGTTGCAAGACTTAACCTGCAGCCAGAAATAATTTACTATCTAGACGAACATGATATCTAGATCCATTTGATAACTGAATACACGCTAATAAAATATTTTGCAACACGGTATATAAAGATGTTTAGCAATATCAACTTGTAGCTTCCATGTACAAATATGTCAAACATGACACAATTTTTCTTCTATCACCATAGCCTGTTTATTACATAAATTCAATATCATTTCCTCTTTTACTAAAGAAACCCAAGTCAGAGAAAATTAGGCATTAAAGTTATATAACTGGCCTTAAACAGGGGCATAAATACTTAGTTTCCTTTCCTAATCCTCATTTTTCTATAGTCACCACCACCCTTAAATCACAAGTTTTTGGTTGCATGTGTGGCAATTTCTGTTTTAAGTGTCTTAAAGTATATCTTTACTGATAGGTAAAACAGAACGGTCTTAAGCTTTTATATCTCTCTGCCTCCAATTCTATATTTAAATTCGTCCTTCAGACAAAAGTCCAATAAATATATATGCAGCAAGTAATTAGCAGCTCTTGTTATCTAGGTATCAAAACCTAAGAATAGTAAACACAATTTTTTTAACCTCTGGGGATTAATTGCCAATAAATTAAGAAAATCCCTTCCCTCACCAGCAGATTTAGGTGCAAGTAAATCCAATACAAACACAACCAAAATGAGAAGAAAGATTGTGATTTAAGAAAGCAAGCTACTGCTGAGGTGGTTTTCAGAACTCGGAGCCGTTAACTGGCTCAGTTGTATTGAGAACAAGGGAAATAACAGACGTTGAGTTACAGGCAGCACTTTGGACAGAGCCATCCAAATGGGGAAAACATCTTATATATAACAAGAATGCCTTATAACCAAGTCTCAGCAGCCTCAATTCACACAGGCATGATTTCTCCCGTGCAGAAAAGAAACACGAATAACCACATTTTAAAAATATCCTGCATATCTAGTTTCTTGATCTTTAATCCTGACAGCTAGATACCTAACTCTGGATAAAACAAGCAGGTATGCAGAGGTAGATGCTTAATGGTATAAGGACCTGCTCAAAAATGTCCAGTGCCCACAGTATCATAAGCATGCTGTGAATACTATTAAGGATCAGGGTCTGTCTTGTCCAGGTGATCATATAAACTCACAAATACTGCACAGAAATTATTTTCCCCACTGTGCTCGTGAAAATGAGGAAGCTTGGGAAGCTACTTTAAGGGCACTAATGAATAATACCAGATGGAGCTCTTAGGGATAATGAGTGAGGAACTCAGAAAAACAAAAGCTAAAAAAACAAACAAACCTCACTACATTTATTTACGAGACATCTTTCTGTTTCCCTGTTTCTGTATGTAGACCTAAGTACCTGCTTTTAGACATGATTAGAATAGAAAGGGCAACATTTCACTTGGAAAGAATTAATTTCTTTTCATGCTCCTTCAAGTGAACTTAATTGATTAATTGTGTTTATACTAACTTCTATTGACACGGGAGATCCTGGTTCAGGTCTAGGTAGTGAAAAGAGGGGAAGGTAGCAGACAATTTCCCCTCACAGAGCTTCTAGCACATGCCAGCACCGTATTTACAAGTTTGCACAATGGAAAACAATGCAAGTACCTCTGGTTTGCCCACAAAGACAATTCACACATCTGTCTATTAACACATGGTAGGTAGTTACATTTAGAGGAAACATACAGACACATCTGTTTATCCTGTCTAAGTAAATCTCTTGGTAATTAGCATCTATACCAGCTGAGAGGTAAGTGGACCAAAGGATTTCACTGGCAAAAACATGAACAGTTTCATAAGCCCAGCAAATTGCAATGGTTTTTAAATAGAAAAGCATCTTACAATTTGTAACTGTTGCACCATTTCTTCTCGGTAGGCTAGTTCCCTTTTCATCTGATCCTGAAAATTATCTGGTAGGAAGAGAAATAGAAAAAAATTAAAATTAAAGGATAAAATCTACTTTTAGTATACTTAGTAATATTTGTATATTAAGTAATATAACTGACAGTCCAGTAAAAAAAAAACCTCTCTTCCTTTTTGGTATTTTTTAAAAGTAAATAATGTGGTTGTTAGACGGGACCTATAATTTAATCAACACAGTAAATTCTGAGAGGGTACGATTTATATCTTATATTTTACAGTATGTCATAGCCCATCTAGTGTAATGCCTTGTATTATAACAACTCCCTAGGAATGTCTGGTGCAATCATGTTCCCCAGCCTTCGTACACTGGAGCAAGCCAGGTATGGAGAACTTCTACTGTCTTCCATACTAGACTTGTGTGAGTGAGGGGTGAACCTCAGTTAGAGCCGATAACAGGATATGGGACCCTTCTGGGATGTAATGCTGGTCATGCCTTCTGGCATGACCCAGATCCATTAGCTATGTCTGCCTGGCTTCACTGCAACTGAGTTCACTCCGAAGAGAGTGATAAGTGTATTCTGCCTCGGCTCTCCCAACCTGCAAATTCTTTCACCCCATATGAGCCTTATCATGTTGGCTCTCCTTGGGTCTGGTATGGTTCTACAGACTTTGCCTCTATCTGATTAGGGGGTTGGGGTGGGAGAAGGATTTTAAGAGATATTGTTATATCATTCTACATACTGATCGCTTTTATTGCATTTATGGAAATGATTTCCTAGTGTATATTGTATTGTTGCATCTTCTCAACGTGGTCTTTTTAAAATGTGGATATGGCTAACGTCAGCTGTTTTTTTTTTTTTTTTCCCTTTAAATGAAACTTCAACAATTTCATATTGCATCTGTGATGGATAGTGGGGCCAGCAGTTTGGAAAAGCCAGAAACTTTGTCATCATTTTTACTTTCTTCCTTCAGCTCTTCAGGCAACTGGTGTGTGAGTCCCGCACATTCTACCTCCCTGCTCTCTTCTCTTTGTCATTGTCACCTCCTAAATGCAGGCACCTCTTCTTCCCTGAACGGTTCTCCAGCTGACCACCTGATTTCTAGTTCCTCCCTCTCCAAGTCCCTTTCATTCTTCTGCTTGCAAATCTGTGACTTCCACTGTTTTCAAGACAATAAATTCCTGCCATTAATGAAAATCTATGTACTTCAACATTGTTCTTTTAATTTTTTTGACTTTTACCTTTCTGTGCTATTTGAATGTCTTCCCCAAGCCCAAGCATGTAATTAAAAATACATATTTAATTTTAAAATAGTAGTTTTAGATTCATGACAAAATCAAGAGGAAGTGACACAGATTTCCCATATATTCCCCACCCCGCCCCCACCCTCCCCATTATCAATATTCCCCCACCAATGTGGTGCATTTGTCACAAGCCATGAACCTACACTGACATGTCCTAGTCGTCTGAACTTCACAGTTCACCTTCAGGTTCACTCTTGGGGTTGTACGTTCCATGGGTTTGGACAAAGGATAATGACATATGTCCACCATTACACCGGATGGAGGATTTCCACCTCCCGAAGTCCTCTGCGCTCTGTCTTTTCATGTCTCCTCTCCACTCTACCCCCAGGAACCACTCATCTTTTTAATATCTCCAAAGTTCTGTTTTTTACAACTCAATTATAAAAAGATGCATTTCCTGAATTTGAGGTGAAAGGTACTCTACCAGAGGTAAGCAGGCTCCATGCAAGGGCTGAGGGAGATGCTTTCATTCTCTTGGGGGGGGGTAAGAGGGCCAGGCTTGAGTAGAGATGTGGAAAATAGCATTCTGCATAGGACATAGGGGGTGGGGAACAGCGAGCACCTCCGCTGAGAGCAGCTGCGGGCGTGGGAGAAACCCTCCTAGCCCCCATCACCTAGCAAACCACTCTCCTGACCTCGCACACACTGTGCTTTCAGCCTGGGGTGCCTGCCCTGCTGGTTTTGCCCCTGTTGTGGCCTTGCCCTGTAGCAAACATTTCCTTTTTCTTTAAAATCCAGTTCAAATGCTATCTCTTAAAGAAATTCTCTCTTGGGGCCTCCCTGGTGGTGCAAGGGGTTAAGACGCAGCACTATGAAGTTATCTGCAGCCACTGCAGCATGAGTTTGATCTCATGCAGCGGGCCAGATTGGTGACCCACATGGCGCAGCAGACCTCTCCTGTCTCACTCGCTGCTCCGCTCAGCATTGTGTTTCAATGGATCTGCCTGTTCTGCTCCCCACTATGTTTTTTTTTTTTTTTTAAAGATTTATTTATTTATACAAGCACTGAGTACAGTCAGAAGCGCGGGAGGGTGAGAGAATTCACCAGAGCCAGAGCGGGGAGCAGAGCAGGCAGAAGGACCAAAGTACACTGCTGAGGGGAGCAGCGGGCGGCAGGAGAGGTCTGCGCGCCATGCGGGACCCTCCTCTGGTGGCCGGGGAGCAGCCGGGGATCAAACCGGCGCTGCAGAGGCTGCGGGCAGCTTCGCAACCCAGCGCTCAACCGCTGCGCCACCGGGGAGGCCCCCCACTATGTTTTTTTTTTAAAAAGATTTATTTATTTATGAATACAAGAGCCGGGGCACAGGCCAGAGGAGTGGGGGGGGGTGAGAGGATTCACCAGAGACAGTGGGGAGCAGAACAGGCAGACTGACTGAAATACACTGCTGAGGGGAATCAACAGACGAATCAGGAGAGGTCTGCTGTGCCATGTGGGTAGCTCCCTGGCTGGGGATCGAACTCATGCCACAGTGGCTGTGGACAGCTTCATGGGCTGTGTCTTAACCCCTTGTGCCACCAGGGAGGCCCTCCCCACTCTGTCTTTGGTGAATCTTCTCATTCCTCTGCATCTCTGGCCTACACCCCAGCTCTTGTATGCATAAATAAATACATCTTCAAAAAAAAAAAGAAATTCTCAGTTCTCCTGCCATCTTATGCCAAATTAGCCATCCTTTCCTTGAGCCCCTTCAGTGCTCTGCACAGACCATAGTGATGTGCCCGTAGCACATGGGGGGTTGGGTCTGTATGAGCCAACTCTGATTAGCTATTTCTTCGCTAAACAGCTGAGTTCTTGGAGGGCAGGAAGGTAAACATTTTTCAAATTTCCCAAGTCCACCACAGTGCTTGGCACACAGCAGGGGTTCCTTAGGGAAGGAAGAGTGAAAAGAGCATTAAGTATGCACCAGAGGTCTGGTTTCTGCCACCGGCAGTAATTACCCCAATCCCGGCTCAGAACTTCTTCCAAACAAGAAGGGCGTGGGACCATGTGCTCTGTGAGGGCCTTTCTTGCTCTAGTGCTTTAAAGTTTGATAACAAGTGTGCTGGTGTGGGTGAGCTCCAGTCTTTCCTGTGCTGGGAAGCGTGTGTGTGTGGGGGGTGCATATGGTTTTGATTTACAATAGCACCCACTCTGCCACCACAGGATACTCTGGAGGCAGGTCAAAGCCCACGCGCTGGGCACAGGGCCACAGGGGAGCCTGCTTTTTACAGTTATCACAGTCGCAAGGCCCTGACATATACCTGGGCCTGAGTGCCTCCAGGAAAATCAGTGTGTTTCCCCATCACCAGAGCACATCCCAAGTGGGTCTCCTTCTGTGAAGAAGAGACTGTCCCTGCATCCCAGTAGGTCCCTATGTCCATCTAGGCCCTTGAGGTGCCTCTTACCAGGTGGTAAATTGATATGGATTGGGGATGAGGGGTTGCAAGAAGCTGACCTCTCTGGCACACCTCCCTGAGCTTCCAGAAGATTCTGAATTTGGAGGGGGAAATAGCTAAGGGCAGTTCAGAGTGGAACGATGAGTACTGCCCTTACTTAATTCATGACATTGCTCTGTGTTGGCACACTTAATAAATTCTTTAAGTTAAAATTTAAAAAATTTAAATGTTTGTATGACTATTTACAAACAAATTCAACTCCTAAAACACCAGTCAGCACTTAAAGGTAAATGATGAAAATTAAAGAATATTGGTGACATGATAAAGAATTCTGTTAGTAGGGCCTCCCTGGGGGTGCAAGAGGTTAAGACGCAACCTATGAAGCTGTCTGCAGCCTCTGAACGATGAGTTTGATCCCCAGCCAGAGAGCTAACAACATGGCGCAGCAGACCTCTCCTGGCAATCCCGCTGTTCCCCTCAGCAGTGTATTTCAATTAATCTGCCTAATCTGCCTGTTTTGCTCCCTACTCTGCCTCTGGTGAATTCTCTCACCCCCCACCCCCTTCTACTCTGTACCCCAGTTCTTGTATGCATAAATAAATAAATATTAAAAAAAATTCTGTTAGTATCTATCAAGACTTCATATAGATCAATAAGAAAATGAATACATGAAAGGAAATGAGGAAAAACTACAGAATAGATAAGTGTCAGCATCCCTGGCAATGAAGGAAAAGAGATAATATGAAGTACCACTTTTTCCATATACCTTAGCAAAGATTAAAAGATAACATTAAAGGATGGGCATATAATTAGTGTAACCATTCCAGAAAACCACTCAAAATTATGCATGAAAAACTTTTAAAAGGTCCTTCTCTTTAAGCATAGTTTTTAAAGATGTTTATCCTATAGAAACAAACATAGATATGTGCAAAGATTTAGTTCTGATGATGTTCATCTAAAACTTAAGCAAATTTTAATGTCCAAAGTAAGCACACATGTAGACTACTATGCAGTGAGGAGGCTCATTCTAAGAGGGAAAAAAGGAGGGTTAAAATGACTGTGTATAAGATTTCACCTTGTTTTTTAAAAAGGATTTAATATGCATTAAAAAGGCTGAAACTCCACATGTTAACTTTGTTAATCTCTAAGTGGCAAGACTTGGGGTGATTTTTTTTTCTTATTTCCTTAGCGTTTCTATATACTTAAGATTTTCTACAATATGCATGTGAATACCTTTTGTGATTTAAAGATTATTCAGTGGCAAATAAAAAAAGTCAAATTTTTGCTATGTCCTAAAGGCTGATGCGGGCACAATTTAACTGGAGAAGATGAAACTAATTAAACTGATTTCTCTGATATACCCTTAAAACC